AAGAGAATAATACATATTTTAAAAACAAGTTTAAAAATAAGCTGCTAAGCTGCAATCATTTAATCATTTCTGATCAGTTTGATTCTTCACTTCTTCCTCCCTAACAATATCTTTTAAAAGCTATGAAACAGAGAAAAAGTTCAGATGGTATGTCTGCCTCTGATGAAAGAAGGGAGAATAAATTGTCTCCATCTTTTGTAACCCCCAACTTCTATCGTACCACCCTTTACTGGGGTCTGGCAATTTTAGCCAAATATCAATTTGCCATAGTTAGTTGCTTTCTATATTCTTCTTGGGCTCCTTCTAATAGACAATCTCACCTGCCCTCCTTAGGTAGGCCTCCTTCTCCATCTCCCTAATCATTAAAAGTTGAGACATTAAATAAAAAACAATAAACACTTGCCCTGCAAGTTATCTTCCTGGTACAGTCTAAAATAAATGCAGTCTTCTATTTGGGCATTTAAAACACCACAAGCATTCTTACTTAGATTAAATCCTGGGTCTCCCTGGTCCCCGGGCATGCCTAGACATGAGCCCTAAAGGGAATAAGATCCCTGGAGTCTCTCTAGTAACGGCAGGTCAAGTCAACAGCAACCCTAAGAACTAGCATTTTCTTTTTAAACAGAACTAGACCACACACATTTTTGAACCATTATTTTACTTTTTTAGTTGTACAATGTACAAAAATAAGTTGTGCTAAAAAGATATCTCAGTAAGTGATGCATTATTCATAACTTTTATAAGTGAATTTTATTATTTATTATCTTGGGAGAAAATTTTTCAAATATATATAATTTCAATATATATATATTCATCTTCTGCAACTATTGCTTTGGATGGCAGCGATCCAGCTCAGGTAAGACATGTACGATGCAACTAATGCTCCTAAATTCAATCAGGATTTAGTATTAAATACTGTATTGGATGAAAATGATGAACCATTTAAAAAACGAGAATTGTTTTTATAACTGTATCCTAACCAAAATGGGTAACTATTGATGGAATGGAGGATAATTCACTCCTGATTTACTTATAAATGTATATTAACTATAAACATAAAATTTAGATCTACAGTTATCTATAGATAGTTTAGAGTTTAACTAGCTCTGACTTCAGGGTGTTGCCTGGTACAACTTAATGATTTGAGTGATTTATGAAATGTGCTCTATAACGTTGTGCCTTACCTAAGATAAGATGAGCACAAATGATATTCAGTAATGAGCGATCTGGCTTTTGTAACTTCGAGCTAATTTTTACAATTAGCATTTTTTTTGTATTATTGTATTGGTCTTCATTTTGGTTTCTTATTCTTCACTGTGGCAGTCACAGAACAGATGCATTTTTAAAAAAAAAATGCTGTCTTTCAAATTGAAAGATCACTCCCTATTCTGTTGTTTTACTACTGTGAGTCTGTTAACTTGGGCTGAATGATCCAGATTATCTGCCATATCTCTGTCCCTAGTTACATCTACCCAGATCATTTGCTGGATTTGAGGAATCAGTATAGCTGGAAGTTTTCCCTTGTGGAAAATAATTTATAATTAAATCTTTGGAGTCAATAGTGAGTGCTCTATACTGGGCATCCAACGACCACATTGGGGATACAGGTGAGGGTAAGCTCCACAGAGTATATAATCAGACAATATTCTTTATCCCCTCCTGATTTCATTCATTGAGGGAAAAAAGAGTAAGGAAAGACTTCTTAGATCTCTCCCAGAAATCCTCTGAAACTTTCCTCTGCCCAGTATACACATCTACATCATCAGATGTGAAATTCTGCAAATAACAAAATGCAACAGATCACAAGACATTGTTTCTCTAGCCTCCACACCCCCTGAATATCCACGTTTAGTCTTGCTTCAAGGACTAGTCTTGCTTCAAGGACCTACTCGTTTCCTTTCCTCTATAAACCTTCTCTCACCATCACGGTTCTATTTCTACCCCTTGGGTTTCTCCCTTCTATTTCTACCCAGCGCAGTTGTTTATTGTATACTGTCTTGAGTGCCCACTTAGAATTACTCCTAGGTCATACTTATGGAGAGTGAATGACCTCAAGTGCAGAGCATATAGCAGATCTTTTAAATATGTGCAGAAAGTAGGAATTTTGCCTAAATCTGACCTTGAGAACATAAAACTGGCCTTGGTCTCACCTTAATTTAAATAGCTGACTGGGACACTATTTGACTAGAAGATCTAGCCTCCACCTCAGCACATGGTCCTTCCCAAGTGTATAAGGGGAAGTCAGAAACAAAAGGGTGCTGATGGGACCCACCAGAGGCCACTTAGGACTATCTCCAGTTGGGAAACTCAAGCCTACCATTTTCAGACCGGGCAAGTTGTTTTTCTTGATACAGATGGGCATGAAAACTGGGTGGGTTTGTCGGGTCTCTGGGGAAGGGCGGAGGGAAAGAGCTTTGTCCCTCCAGCTACATCAGGAAGAGAAACTCAAGGATACGTGCCTTCTCTCTTGGGCCTCTTTCCTACCCCGGCCGCCGCCTGCCCCTTCTCACTGCCTCCTCCCCCACCCCCACCCGCCCCTCCCCCATCCCGCCCCATCTCGCGCCCGCCCCGCCCCCTCGCCCGCGCGGGTTCCAAGGACGGTTGGCCTGCCAGGGCCACGGTCACTCGGAGCTGCGGGGCGCACGCGGTTGAAAGCCAGCTCCTGGGTTTGGGCTGGGAACAGAAGAGAAGTTGCTGGGCCGACGGGGTTGGGAGTGAGGGAGGTGGGAGTCAAGCCGGAGAAAGCTAAGAAGAAGGAAACTTAAAGGGGTGCCTGCTGAGAAGTGCTGGGCACACGGGACAGGGTAGGATGGGCTCGGGGACTCGGTGGGCAAGGCTGAGCTCATCTGGAAGTCGCCTAGGAGGGGGAAGGGCGCGGCCCTAGGGTGCAGGTCCCCTCCGGGGCGCCACCCGCTGGCCGTACCACGCCAAGTGGAGACGAGCGGTCAGGAGCGGGTGAGGTGGGGGCCGTGCAGCCCGCGGGCTGGGCGAGGGTGGGTGCCCGATGGATCCCAGGACGTCCTCCAGGGACCCTCGCCCTTAGCGTCGAGCACAGTGCTGTCCGATGTCGCCTCGAGTGAAGTGTGGGGTAGAGGCGGGCTAGATCCCGCGACCCGCAGGCTCATGGACATCGCTTTGCGGACCGTCGGATCGCTGCAGCCCGCGGGCGCCCGGTGCTCGGTTTGTAGGCAGTGTAATTAGCTGATTGTACTCTGCTGCTTGCAATCACTAACTCCACTGCCATCAAAACAAGGCACAGCATCACCCGTCGCCCGGCCGGGAGGAAGACGCCACCCCCAGCGGTAAACGGCCGGCCCCAAGCGTTTGAGCGGAGAAAGCCGCTCCCTGAGATTCGCTGAGTCAGCATTTATCCTGCAGGGCACCTCTCTGGCCGCACGTTGTCAAAGTGAGAGTAAAACCCTGGAAACGGCAGCACGCTGCTGCTTCTAGATAGTGTTAGACTTTTGGCTCTCTCTCCGAGAGGAAAAGCAAGACTGTACAATCACTTATGGAGTGAAATCTGCGGAGCGTAGTGCTTTTCACTGTTAATATAGACATGTAAAATGCTGGGAGGAGCCCACTCAGTAGCGCTGAATGAAGTATGCTGTGATTCCTTTTGCCTATTTTTCATTATTTAGTAGGGTATTCACCAACCAACTGAGGAGCTACCATCCCTGTTTATGGGGCACCAACTTGAGACTGCAGTTTGTGATGAAAGAATAACCCTTTTCTTGTGAGTCTGGTTACTAGGCAGTGTAGTTAGCTGATTGCTAACAGCACCAATCACTAACCACACGGCCAGGTAAAAAGATTTGGGGATTCATCCAAATGAGCTTCATGTTCCCATCAAAGAGTTGTGGGGTGGCAGGGGTTTTTGAATAGCTAATATATATTCAAATATTTGAATGATGTATCAAGAATTCAGAAATTAATTTTAAATAATTTCTAAATTATTTTAGAAAATACATTTGTAATGTGAATGATTTTATAACTAACTTTTCAGTATTCCTTCCAGGTCTTAGCCCCTAAAATTTAACATATATTAGGACAAAATGATTTTTTTTTCCTTAGGTGATCTATGACATTGTATAGATTTGTGATGATCAATTTTGAGCTTTCTGTGAGAATGTAGCATTAATATTTTGAGAAAATAAAGCACCATAGGACATAAATTGTGGTTATTACCATGTGATCCTTTCCTAAGATAGCTTTAGGATGTCCATTTCAGTTCCTGCCATAGTAATTACATCTTTCTTGTCCCTGAAGTGGTTGAATTGTTCCTAGGTTAACAAAACCTCCATAGAAAGCTTCTTCTCACACACTTGCTATATTCTTATCAGGCTATATGAACAGAATGTTTCATAATTTTTTCTGAAAGGATGGTGTTCACTCATGGGATACCTAGCTTTTAAATAGCCACAGTGTAGGCAGATGGGGGGCTGATTAGTTGTCATCTCAACCCAGCTTATTTGTAAGATTTTCCCTAAAGAAGGATGGGGGTGGGAGAAGAGTATATAAAACTATAGTGTGGCTACCCATGGAGCCGGTGCAGGCCTCTGTTAGCTATAGGCTAGAATGTTAGCTGCCCTGCTGAAGTCTCCACCCAATGCGGGTCCAGAAGTCCCACGTCTGGTGAACTGAACGAGGCAACGTGGTACGGGAGTTGGAGGGCTGAGGCAGTGAGGCTACCTAATTAAAATTTTTATTTAGATATCTGAGAAGTGAGGGGGAAGAAACCGGTGGGGACTAGGGGAGAGAAAAGTTAAGGGCTCCCTGCCACCAACTCCACCAGGGCTGCACACGTTGCAAAGCTGATAGTTTGACTTATCTCGACTCCAAGGCTTGGACCAGTTCCGAAGTCTGAAGTCTTACAACCTCGCGCTGAACCTCAACACCTACCAGAGAGACTTCAGAGTTTTCGGTGGTAGTAGCTACCTCTGCGGTTCTCCAAGAGGCGGGGCTGGCCGGCGAGGGAGACTGGAGAAGAGTCCTGAGTTGCCATGGAACCAAGCCCGTGTGACTGCCTGAGCCAGAAGGAGTCCGATGAAATTTACCCCCCGGGATTGCTGGTATTCGCTGGCTCTTCAGATGAGGACACCAATTTGGCCAAGCAGTTTTGGGTGGCAGCATCGATGTATCCTCCCAACGAATCTCAATTGGTTTTGTCCAGAGGTAGCAGTCAACGTCTGCCGGTGGCCGGGTCCTCAAAGGGGATTTCCCCTGGTGAGTAGCTGCCTTCTAGGAAGATTTCTCTCTCCACCTCACATCACCTGGAAGATAGCAGAGTCCCTCCCCACAATAACTACCAAACCTAATCCCAGAATACGAATCTTTCCTTTCAAGTAGTTCTTTACACCTCAGCTATCCTGCTCCCTGACAAGAATCAGTAGGTATCGGGTACATCTAAAAGTATCAAGTAGATTACAGCATCTGTTTGGTTAAACTGCGTAAAGTAGTCAGGAGAAGTTATATGTGGCTGAAAAGATATTACGGTTGGTAGTTGACAAAATAGTTTGAAAAATGAACACAAAAGAAAGGCAGCATCAACTAAGTTCCCTGATCTGTAAGAACTAGTAAGACCCAAGATATGAAACTGCTAGTAAGCAATTTATATTTATTGGTATAGAAAGCTTAAATATGTTCGATGCTGTGGTTTTTCCAATGGTTTCTTTACTTCCCTTTTGTTTTTCAGAGAATATTTACATGAAGTCATTTTTCCTTAGGAAGGATGGTGAGTACCAATTCTTCTGCTCTTCAACATCATGATTCCTAGGGTCTTCAGCAAATAGGTATTAACTATACAGCTTTACACTTTGGCATAACTTTCTGAATTGAATCCATATCCTACCCTATTTATCTAGAGGAAAATGCCTAAATTCCTATAACACATTGAATAGGAATAGCGAAATTAGAATTTCTGTTAATACAAATATGTTCTCTTTAGAGACTCAGGCTTACTTGCCGTCTAAAGTAGGTAGGAACCCTCTGCAGCCAGCAACAGTTATTTCATTGTCTCCGTTTATGAATCTGACTTATAAAGAATCAAGACAGTACATATATGTTTGCCTTCCTACTCATTTAGGTACTACCTTCTTACCTTTGTCCAATTTTATATCAAGTTACATGTAAAACATGATACAATTATTTCAAAACATCTTTATTCCTTTAGAGAGTAAAATCAATGCTGAAATCCTAAAGATTCAGGAATCTGAGGAAAAAGAAAAGTATCTCCAAAAGGTAGGCCAATATTTCAGAACCTCATCTGATTGCCACTAAACTTTCTAAATGACCCCAATTATTATTTTTTTAAATGTGAGAATTCTAATTGAAGATTAAGAAATTCTGTTAAACTTTGGCTCCTCTCATTCTTTGCAAAAGCCAATGCATGTAGAAGAATAACAGAATTCAAGGGAAATGGAGCAAGATGGACTCACACACTTCCCATCCAGTAAGACCCCAAACCAAATACATTGCTCGAACAGGAGAAACATTGTAAGAACAGGAAAAGTCCAATGGGGTTGACTATCTTAACAGCACAAGATTAAATGATCTGAGGAATGGTTTGTTATCTAAAAACCATTCTGACTAAAAGTTGAGATTAAACACATCAGTGTTCTCAAATCAACAGAACATCTCTTTTTGGTGATATTCCTTGTTTGATTCTCATGTTGCAGGCAGAGCCTTTAACTCAACAATTAATAGAGTTTATTTACAGAAACAGTTTATTTGGTTAATGGATCAATTCCATTCCTGTAACTCTTCCTATACCATAAAAGCAAAGGGAGAGGATTCGCTTTGGTCTAATGTCCTAAATCATTGGACATATTGGCAAACTCTGAAACTCTTATCGGGAACTCTACATAAATTACACAACAATGCATTTGAGTTTGCTGTAATTCATTTTGTGGACTATTGGTGATTTCCTCCAAACAAATTAGGTGATTAGAAACAGTCAGCATTTTCTTCTGTTTTTAGGATATCAAACACTATATACTTGTACCAGAACTTAGTGGCTAGAGGGAGTATAATTTTCAATATGGTAAAGATCATTAAAAGTTGCCTTCTTCAAGGAGTTTGTTTAATTTCATTTTAGTAATGGATTAAAAATAAAAAGTGAAAGCAAACTGTTGTCAATTTTTATCATCTTTTATCAAGCAATAAGACAAGAAGGGTTACAGGTAGATGTTCTGCTAATGGACTATTATAGTAGGAGTTTTAGAACTGGTTTCCTTTTCTCAGGCAGTCTATTAACTTATTAAGAACTTAATTTCACAGATAGGATAGGAGAAACTGCTGTGAGCCAAATACCACACTAGCTAATGGGAATGCAGATAAGATGTGGCCCCTGTTCTCAAGGAGCTTACAATCTGATGGGGAAAGCCATCAAAGTCAAGGCTTGTGTATGTGTGTGTGTACGTTATACATATATGTATGACAGATGCATGTAGATAATTCTATGGGATTCTATGGAAAGACATTAGAATTAAATTTAAGAAATCAAAAATCTTCCCAAAGGAATTGAGCTTGGAAGAATATACAGAGCTGCCAAAGAATATATAAAACATCCTGCACCCTGCAAGATCTCTTACTAAGACCCAAATCTGATTATTCTGTTCTCTTACCTTATTAGTCTGCCAGGTATATCCTAACAAAATACCAGACTAGATGGCTCAAGCAACAGGAATGTGTTTTAGTTACAGCAGCCAGAAATCCAAGATCATGGTACCATGAGGTTGGCTTGAGAACAGCTGCTGTCTCACTGTGTCCTCACAGGGCAGAGGGAGAGCGCTCTGGTACCTCTTCCTCCAAAATCAACAACAGTTCTATGGAATATGACCCCTTCTTTATGACCTTATCCTTAATTAGCTACTTAAAGGTCCTATCTCCAAATATAGTCACACTGGGGGCTTCAATATAGGAATTTTAGAGGACACAATTCAGCTCATACACCTACTCTCACTTTTCCATGGCTTTCCATTTTTGTAGGGTCAAGACCAAACTCTCAGCATGGCATTCAAGTTCCTCTCCAACTGGACTATCACTTAACTTCCTATCTCTCTCCTCTATCACCTGTACCCTCCCTCATCCCAGTGTAGTCTACTCTTAACCACTAGACTAGAGCACACACTGTCTCTCCTTTTCCATGTTTGCTACCAAATTGGTCAGTGGATAAAATATATACTTGCTAAATCTAAACATACGTACACTTCTGTGATATCTTAATTGTACATGAAGTTCAAGGTAGTAACAACATTATTCTATTTGTTGGGAGTAGAAAACGAGAGACCTGAAATAGGAGCAAGTCAGCTGGAAAGAAAATGTGACTGAAACTGAGCCTCATGAGTATACAGGGGAGCTTGGTACCACACAATGAAGTTCTAGTCAAACTGTGTCAGAGTTAAAAGGCAACCAAGAAAATCCAGCAGAAACAATGCTCTGATAGATATGCTCAGATATTATGTGGTGTATTCATAATAGCCAGTTTAGTCATTGCATATCACTAAGCTAAGCAGTTTACAGGTATCAACACATATTCTCCTTAGAATATCTTCATGATGATATCCCCAATTAATCAAACAAGGCTTAAGTCATTGTCCAAAGTTTCCACAATCCGTGAGCAGTAGAGACTAGATTCAAAACCTGTATCCTAATTCAAAGCCCATGAGACTCATTGTATTGTGATCATCTCTGGCCATGTCATTGTTTGGTCATGCTGCCAGGTATTCTAAAATTCAAAACTGTATGAATACAAGCCTGAGAAAGTGTTTCCAGCCCTGTGGGACTAAAAATTGTTTCTTCAGCCTGCAACACACTTCCATGTTGCTACAAAAAATGTTCTTCCAGGCCAAGCTCAAGTCACCTCAAATGTGAGGCGTTCCCAGAGGTAAACTAGAGACTGGCAGGCTGGACACTTCTCTTCTTGGTGCTTCAAACAACCTCTCTCACAGTATTTATCAGTCTCTGAAGTGTATTGCAGGTAATTGTGCCTGTTTTTGCCTTTCCTGCTAGATTTCAGGCACCACAGACAAGGGCCTTTTAGAGATCAGGTGGCGTTGGAAGTCTAATGCTACCACTTACTATTTGCATGATCTGTTTAACCCTGTGAAAATCAGCATCCACAGATATAACAGGAGGAATAATAAAAATATCCACTGCACAGAGTTGATATAAGATGCATAAAATGCCCAGTCATACATAGTTTCTCTTCAACAAATGTGAATTCATTTTTCCTTTCTAAGAGCAGAGGTTCTTTTCATTTGCTTAACCCAAGTGTGCTAGTCTTCCTGGTTACTAAAACTCAGTAAATGTGTTGCCTGAATAAATAAGTGCAAAACTGAACAGAAACATTTCTATTTTGTGTAGCCTTTTTCACATATGCCCATATGGCAAATCTTTCTAGGTTGATAATTTTTGCAAGAATGCTCTCAAGAGCTAATTTGTTTGCAAACCTGCTTTAGGTCCATTTTAGCTCAACACCCCTCTTTCTCAGTTTCACTTTGATTTTATCAGGTTTATGATGGGAGGATATGTGACTGTAACTACTAAAACACGATCTATTTTGGGATTCACTATTTTTCTAAATCTACAGTACCCTGTATGTAGTGCTATAACCACTTTCTAGAATTTTTAGCTTGGCTTAATGGCAGAAAGTAAATCTTTATAAATAAGAAAACAATAAGAAGGTTCTTTTTAAATAAGAAAACATTTACAAAGATCTAATCTGAGAAAATCTTCAAAAAATGTTGAACATGTACTATTAATAAGGAAATTACTGGCATCACTTTCATTTTAAAATGGGGGAAAGTAATGTAAATCTAATATTTATTTTCTATCCTCCTAAAAGTACCTTTATAGTTCTTTCTCCCCAGCTATATTGATTTTTCAGTTGTTAAACTTTTATTAAACTTTAATGTTATCCTCCATTTTGTAATGTTTTCTAGGTACACATTATAAATGCTTTTGGTTAGTGAACAAAATGCTATTAATCACAACTACTAGTTCTGTGATGGATATTCATGGCAGAAAATCAAAAACAATTGAGTGTGTCAAGATTAAATGGCTTTCTCTGTCCATAAAAGAAACCTTATAGCACTATATTGAACCATTATTCTTCCTTTGAGAGTTCTAAAGTAGCCTGAAAACATTATAATAAATGAATAGTCAGCTAATTCTTTGAAATAGTAAAACTAATTTGCTTTTTGGTTTTGCCACCTTTAAGAAAGCTCTTTAGCTGATTATTGCCTTATGAAAAGAATTATAAATAATTCATTTACTGGGAGAAGGAAGATATTAGTGTTTTAAGGCATATATATAAGATGGTACAGTTGTAAATGTCCATCTGGGATCAAAGTTTTAACATGAACTAAACTAAAAGTTTTAACAAGCAAATATACAATCTGCAGAGCATTCCAGATATATCTTTACAGGGAATGGGCTAGTTTATCACACAACCTATACAGCAATGCTGATCACACTGCAAACCTCAAAAGTGGGTTTGCTGAATGTGCTAAATGGCACCCTATGAACCAGAGTCAAGTCCAGCTATGACGAGAACAGTATTGGAAAAAGAAGAATCTAAGAAACTTCACAAAGGTGTATTTTCAGACACTAAATCATGAAAGTGGAAAGCTTTCCTATACTTTGTAGGCCATAAGAGGGATATATTTAGAATCGTAGGTCGCTTTTGGAGAGCAAAACCAAAAATGTAGGGAATTTCCTTAGGGTCATTGCCAGAGAGTTCAGATAAAAGAAAATCCTCTGCTATCAAAATGATCAGAAAATCCAAATTTTCTCCCCAAGGTGTTATCTGGCTTTGCTCTAATTTTGCTACCCTTCCCTTATACAACATTAACAGGGTTCCTTTTCCTCCACACAATACCATTACGAAATGGGAGTTTCTTCTTCACCAACAAAAGATACTTAGAGATTTAAATACTTGTTCCTAATTTGTCAAATAATCCAAGTGGAAGAATTATAAAAACAGACTATGCTTCATAGTAACAAGCAAGTATTTTGGTGTCGAATGATATTTAAAAGCTTATCTAAATATGAATTACTCTTTGATATACATAGTACCACTTTGTTTTCAAACATTCAGTCGTATAAAATATATTCAGTTGACAAATTAGACTTCTCTCTTAGTCTTCTTTGGTAAGATATGAAAACATACTTGGGAAAAGTAGAGATGTAAAACCACATAGATAATACAGAAGTATAGCAGGATGGCAGCAGAACTTGCTTGCCTCTTGCTTGCAGCAGAACAAAGCCAAAGGGCTCCTGAGAGAAAAACTGACAACCACCACACACACGGGAGCAACTCAGCAGAAAGAGGGAGGAAAACTTCAAGTAAAGAGTGTTTATAGTGATAGCAGAGCAGTAGAGTGCACAAGAGGAGGATGTCTGCACAGGGAAACCACTGCAGCCCCTGAATCAGGAGCACACACCCATAGGGGACGCTTGAGCGGTCACTGCACTGGCTTAGAGGGGATACAGAGTTGGCACCAAAGTGAGGTGGGGTGGTGGCAGGAGGAGGAAGGAGGAGCAGTGTGAGGATTACTGGCTTGACTCTGAGGCTCAACACAGAACAGCTGGAACCTGAAGCAGGGACAGAATGTGCGGCCCGAGTCTCTGCAGAGAAGCTATCATGCCTAGGCGGGGATATTCAAACATCTCCACACACACTATAATCAGGAAAACGAACAATTGAGTACTTAGGAAAGGGAATGTTCATAATAAGAGAAAACACCTGGGATAAGGCTCTGTTCTGGAAAAGAAAAGAAAACAACGCCCAACCTGTGATCCCCTCTCAACTACACTTCATGCCTATTGGGGGCTCAAACTTAGCCCAGAGGTGGACGCTAATGCTACACAGAGGAAGGAGCCAGCCCAGAGGAAGGGATCGCTATGGGCCCTGCCCACAAATCTGGGACCTACAGCCTTAGGAACCTTGAGTCCGCTACTCTCACGGGAAGGGACCCTTTGGTGCCCTACCACAATCCTTTCTTACTTACTACTGCCACTTACCAGTACCAGTTCTCCAATTACTTCAACAGTCTGAAAGTCTATTCCTATTACAAACCATAAAAACTAAATGAGGAGACAGAACATACGACAAATGCTGGAGAAAGAAAAAATCAATGGTTAATATAAAATATAAACAGAATGAAGACTGAAAATATGAGACAATTACAGTTAGAAGTAATGGACCTAAGAAATACTAAACTGAATTTAAAAATAAAATTGATGACCTCCACAGCAGACAAATGCAAGCAATAGAGAGAATAAGCTCAAAACCACAATGTCAGAGAACAAACAAAACAATGCAGAGAAAAAAGTATTAACATATGAAAATAGTGTAAGAGCCCTTTGGGATAACCTAAAGAGAAATGAGAACCTTATCATTGTCTCCCAGTAAAAGAGAAAGTGAAAGGTAAAGAATATTTATTAAGGAAATAATTGCTGAAAACCACCCTCAATCTGGGAAGTGAGCCAGATGTCATAATCCAAAGGGCCTAAAGAGTACCTTACAAAATAATACCACACAGAAACACACGAAGACACATTATAATAAAGCCGCTTAAAGGCAATGATAAAGACAGAATACTAAGAAATATCAAGAGAAAAAAGGGTAACCAGTACAGGAACACCAAACAGACTCTCGGTGGGCTTTTCAGTAGAAACATGACAAGCACAAAGTACTTGAAGAAAAAGATTTCCAATCTAGAATTCCTTTTCCTACAAGATTAAGATAGAAGGAAGATCTAAGAGCTTTAGTGCAAAGCATAAACTAAAAGAATTCATCAACACCAAGCCCACATGAAAGAACTAAGAAATAGGTTATTTTAAAGAAACAGAAAAATGAATATGGAAGAGTAGATACCTAATCATTCAAAGTGGAGGAGTGTAACAGTGGCACATCAGAATGAGTCAGAGATCAGACTGTCCAGCAGGTTACACAAATAGTCCATCATGTACTAACGTCAATGGAACCTTCAAACAAAAATAGAAGGAATGCATAAGACAACAAAAATGCATATAATATTTAAATAAAACATTAAAGGAAGGCCTCAAAAAATAAAAAGCCAAGAGAAGAAATAACAAAATGTCATGAGTGCAAGGGTGGCTTACTATATGTAAATCAGTTTAATACTTCATAGCAACAAAAATAAAGATGAAAGTTTTATGATAGCACCAATGAAAGTATTTGATAAGATTCAATTGTGTTAAAAACCCTAAATAAGATTGGAATAGAAGGAATCTACCTCAATAAAAGACTATATCTCACAAACCAACAACCAATATTTTATCTAATGGTAAAAAAAAAAAATGAAAGCTTTCCCCATAATATCAGGAATAAGACAAAGATGTCCATAGTCACCATTTCTGTTTAACTTAGAGATTTTAGCCAGAAGTACCAGATAAAAACAGGAAATAAGTGGAATCCAAAAGGAAAAAGAAGTAAAGCTATCACTACTTAAACAATATGATATTGTATATCAAAAATTCCACCAAAAAATTATTAGAAACAATAGATGAATATAACAAAGTAGCAGGTTACGAAATCCACATACAAAGCCCATAGCTTTTTTTTATATACAAGTAAAAAGCAAAAGAAATCAATAAAATAACTCCATTTATAGTAACTTCAAAAAGAAATACTTCTAAAAGATCTATATAAATAACTACAAGGTGTTATCAAAGAATTAGATAGCAAATAGAAGGATATTCCATGCTTATGGATGAGGAGAATCACTATAATTAAAATGACTATTCTGCCTAAAATAATAAATGTAATTCCTGTCAGAATTCCAACATTCTTTTTCAAATAAATTGAACAAAAAATATTGATATTTGTATGGAACCACAAGAGACTTCAAATTGCAAAAGCAATCCTGAGGGGGAAAAGAAAGGAAACAGAAGTATCATGTTATTTAACTTTAAATTTTACCAGAAAACAACAATACTGAAAACATTATGTTGTTGGCACAAAAACAGATACATGGAATAGAAAGTCTAGAAATACTTTCTATGTCCACACACATATCAGCACCTAGTGTCTGATAAAGCAGCTATACCTGGGGGAAAAACAATCTTTTCAACAAATGTTGCAGAAAAAATTGGAAAGCCACACAAAGAATGAAGTTGTATTATTATAGCTCCATGTACAAAAA